TATCTGGTAGCTGAAAGCAAGGCTAGGAAATCACATCCACTAAGGCCATGAGGAGGTAGCCTTGACAAGAGCATCTAAGTGAAGTTACAGTTAATATCATCTCCTCATACCTAATGACATAGCTGAAGTTGGGGCCAAGCAATCAAGGTTAAGAGCCCAGAAAAGATGCTGAGAGCAACTGAAGCAGTAGAGCTTCTCTTTTTACTGATATGGGATTCAAAATTGAAAGACACTGAGCTTTCCTCAGATATGTTCCTCCTAAGGCAGCACAGACATCCTACCTAAGCAACAGCTGAGGGAATATGCCACCTTCAAGACATACGAGAACCTTCAAACAGAACAAATAGAAGAACCAGGGGAAAGAAAATACTACTGATCAAAGACACAAGAGCTCAGCTCATCAGGGAACATGTCCTTGGTTCATCTGAGCTCTGCATTAAATATACTCAGAGCAACAGGATACTCAGAGCAACAGGAACATTCTCCTACAAATTTCTCAAAAACACTAGAAACACATTTGATTTTACACACGGAAAAAAGAAAGCAACAATTCAGCAGGTTCCTCAAATCTGTCTGCTATAAAGGGAGATTTCTAAAGGCGACCTAAGCTCCTCTACTGCAAGCATTAACATAGGAGCTCAGGTCATTTCCTGCTAAATCCTCACCTTCCTCATACTCCACACACACACACACACACACACACACACACACACACACCCCAATAACTCAGCAGCTAGAGAGCTGATAGGGTCAGCTACCTGTTGATTGATCTCCCAATACCTGATATTTACGAGAACTTAGTCACTTATTTCCATTTTTAGCAACTCTATTCCAGTTCACCATCTACAATGCTCTGGAACGACAGCAATTTTTTTGTTCTTGTCACTGCTGCTATTAGACATAAGTCAATAATTTCTCTTCAAAAATATCACACTTGTGTTCATTACAATCAGAGCCAAAATCTTAACTGGAAATTTATGGTCAAAGCTAACATTTTCTAACAAAAATGACTCTGAACTTAGTCAGGACTTTGATTCTACAAATAGAAAATATGAGGCTTGAAACAATTTGTGCTCACATACAGATGGAAGTTATTATGAACTCTCAGAATTAACACACATTGTTTTGACTCTGGAATGTAACAGCAAAGCAAGTTTCTCCAAATAAATGCTCTACGAAGCTAGCACTGAACTGCTTCTAATCCCAAACAAATTCTCCAGAGTGTGAGATGTGGTTTTTGTTGTTGTTGTCCCGCTGTTTTACTAAGAAGTTCCATTTTATCTCTAAAGGAGTTTTCACTTCAGTGATTCTACTTAATATGAACCTGGTCTCACTTCTTCCCYGCTTACACTCTTATGTCTCTCCTTGCTCTTCAAAACTCCATGGGGAGGGAAGGTGTCGGGAAATCGATAAAACCCTCTGTGAAACTGGAAACTTGTAGGAATCCTCTCACAAACTTATTTAAGTTGATGCAGGTCTTCCTGGGCTTCTTGGCTTCTCACCCTCTCTGATCACAAGAGTCTCATGAAGGATTCAGGTAGCACAACAGAGACTCCACTTCCTCCTCTAACAGTATATTTAGTGGCCCCCAGATTACAAGGTTCCTCCTAGATGCTCTCCAGTCTTTGCAAAGCAACCTGAGCAAATTAATCAACCAAGTCATATAAATTCCTGACAAAACAGTCAGTTTGTAGGACTGGTTGCATGAAGCAAGGCTGCACCTCTGAGCCTTAAAAGGATTCCCTCAGAGGCTGAAGTTCTACAGATAGGGAGGAGGCAGTAGCTCATTCTCCACTCAAACTTCATCTTTTCAATTATACATTTTTTTTATTATTATTATTATTTTTATTTTACACCCACATGAACTAAACTTACCATAAAAGCTTTTCCTCAGAGCAGTCTTAAATTCTTCTAAAAGCTACTTAAATTCAATAGTTCCAGCCTCCAAAAAAGCATTCAAATAGTCTCAGCTTTTTAATCAAGTGAGTTCCTGCAGACAAAATTTCTAGCACTGTGATGTACTTCTGCATGTTATCTACCCACTCTGCTAAGTTTTTCACAATGCTTTCATCATGGAATTTCCTCACGGCAGACCTATAAAAAGCTGTAATATTTGACCAGGAATATCAAAGCAAAGGTGTCTACAACAATTTATATGGACTTCAGTAACACTTTCATGATTAAGTAGTAGAAGACCCAAAAAATCTGATTTACTTTTTATTATGTTTTTATATTCAACAGCATACATTCTCAAGCAGTAACATACAAACCACTGGTGTTGCAGTAACCCACTTTAAATAGACGTTAGCTAGCATCAGTGACCCTTTGCAAATTTGGCTTGGAAATCCTTTTCTAAACCAAATACATAGTTAATTTAAGCCTTCAATTACTTTCCTGATTTTAAACATATGCCAACAATTCTAGGAACCAACTGCAAGGACTTGGAAGGGAACATGGCTGAAAAAACATGATTTGAACAGTTCATAGTATTTTGGAAACAGGACAAGAACAGAATCAGMGCAGCAGATTTCAATAGGTCTAACCACTGTAACATCCCAAAGACAAGTCAAAGAATAAAAACAAGTGATAGTTCCTATAAAACAATTGCCACACACAAGTGCCAACAAACCCAAACTACAAGAAATGAAAAGTTAGTAATTCCAATCAAAAAAGAAGCACAGAACACTTGCATCATATTACTGAAGGAGCAATTGCAAAAGTCATAGGACCGAAAATATGAAAGGCTGGAATGTCAGCATTCATTTAATGCTAAAAGCAAAAGCTATCAAATCATCCAAAGGAAAGTGTTTAATCCCTTTTTTGCACTAGTCCTCTCAAAAGTGTGAGCAGCTGGCTACCATTATCAATACTAGCAACAGAGAGTCACAGTTTAGGTTATATTAACAGCTTAGTTAAGTGAATTTTGAAGACTGGCAGTGATTCTGTCACTTTATTAACTTAATCCTATGATATTTCAGCCTGCAATTTCAGAACTATTGGAGGTTATCTTCCAAAACACACTGTGCACAGGCAAAATATCTTTTCAGGCAAAAAAARCCTGAAGAAAGGTAAATGCAATCCAAACTTTAAACAAATAAGCTAAGTGAAAAAGATCCAGAAGTTCTACTTTAGTTGTGACACAGAAGATGGAGAAAAACAAGGAGAAGAGGGAGAGAGAACTGGGAAGAAGGGATCAAACTGAAAAACTAGAAATTAAGTACATATAAAAATACCACCAAAATGCGATGACACTCATATTAAAACATAAATTGTCAAAACAATCTTATTCTGAGCTGAGATGAACTTAAAGAAATCTTCTGACACTTTATGGCACGAAATGCTCACAAGCAGGCTGAAAAAAATGAGATACTTAAGTATTCCAGAGAATGACTGCAAAGCTACTAAGTGCTCTCTTGGTGTAGTTGACCAGTGGCTTACTGCCAAAAATCAAAGCGTTAATAATTAACTGGGGCTCCACTTGGGTCTATGATTTATTCAAAAGCATCCCCTTTTTTTCTTCCGAGTTCTCACTCCAACTTTAAGATTCATTTTCTGAATTCAGAGGTACAATTAAGAATATAAAAGGTATCATTTTAAGGACATTTTCAAGGTATAACATATAAAACATGAACTTAAAAAGTGTTTAAAAATAGAATGGGCTATTTTGTTGCTGCACAGAAGAGGCTTGAGGATTTGCAGATTGCGGTGAATCACATGAACATTGTTTGACTATACAAATCTATTGGGACATATGAATTGAGGTAAAGAGCAAGGGCCATGAGGAACTTCTTATCCCACTTTGAAGACAACTGAGCTGAACACTATCCAGTTTTGGACACTGCACTTCAAGAAAAGYGTGGGTCAGATGGAGAACAGGCAAGCAACAAGAATGCTCAGAAATTAAGAAACATGACCCATGAAATAACACTTAAAATTAGAGATACAGAATGGGTAAGGTTGGAAGGGACCTCTAGAGATCACCTAGTCCAACCCCGCCCTGCTCAAGTAGGGACACCTAGGGCATAACTTCCAATGTATAGAAGTTTATTCATTTCATCCTCTTTGCAAGTTACTGGAATATGTAATTCTTTGGTTAAAAGAGAAGCAAGAACAGCCAAGCACTTGCAGAGAGTACTTGGATCATAGGCTTTCCCTTCCAGGAAGGTAAACAAGCATCTGTCAGGAATGGCCTAAGGGCAGGAACATTGGTGTAGATGACCTCTCAAATTCCATTACAAATCAGTTTTTAAACATTAGCTGAATACCATATACAAACTCATTAGCAGCACGTATCAGCACAGCCTCAAGTCAAAATTTTAGATTCCTAAAAGATTTTAGATTCCTAAATTCTTTTAAACTTTAAACTCCTAAAAAACTAAGAAAAATTCCTCTTATATTTGCCAGAGTTGAAGATGACTTAAGAAAAGCAGAGGCAGGAAGTTGGAGTGATTAGAACAGTTTAACAGTTTTTTTGGGGTTTTTTTTGTTTGTTTTTTGTTTTTTTTGGTTCCCCCCCCCCCCAAGTCATATATCTGCAAGACCTGGGAAAAACTGGGAAAAACGCAACTAGAAAATCTTATTCAAGTATAGGAACAGAAAGTCAGAATAACAATATAGTAAAATTAAAGACAGGGCAATGAGAATGAGATAAATGGATCACAGAAACACAGAACAACAAAAATACTAGGATACATTTACAACTTTCAAAACAGTGCAAATCCTTTTCAAATTATAAATGTTTTGAATTCAAATTGAATTTGAATGCTTTGAAGATTCATGGTTAGCTGGAAGTCCTTCTCTAAGTGCCACAGGAGATAAGCACAAAGCTGTAAGGTAAGCAAAGCCAGTAGGAAGAAGAACACCCCCAAGAGTTCACAGATGTTCTCCACAGAGAACAGCACTGTTGCTGAAACAGAAAACTCAGAGATGCATATTCATGCCACACTGACATGAAGCAGATGGTAAATAWTGCAATAAAAAAAATCTCAAGATGTACCAACCTGTGCTATATTTTTGTTGAGAAGATATACTCCATATTCAAACTGAAGCTTCTCTCCTCCTTTTGGATATAAAGGGAATCTGATGAGGGAGGAAAAAGAAAATGTATTTAAGATAAAGTTATTCAAATACATAAATAAATGTCAAAGAGCCACACATCCTTTCTGAAAAGGCAACAATTTAAAGAACTCTTCAAAAAAACCAAACCCACTCAAAATGCTTGCCTCCCTCYAACTTTTCCCAAAAGCCTCCCTCCAGCAAGATATCCTCAAGAACCCTCAGCTGCTCCAAAGTACTATTTCAGGTTTTAAAAAGATGCTTTGCTTCATTTATCTCACTAAARGAAGCACATTTTAAAGCATGAAACATAACATCAGACCCCACTATATCTTTGTATTCAGGTTTTTACATTGGTTAGCTCACTTCCAAATGTAGTTAGTAAGAAAAAGCATCTTTTTTTTTTTCCCCTTTTTTATTGAACTGTTATTTTGAGATCAAAGAGGATCCCTTCCTCTTTGCAGAAGAATGCAGAAGACATTTGCAGGTCCATAGACCWACACACTTAAACCCACCACTCCACTCAAGATATCTATCCCTAGAACCTCTCCTACTTTTCCTGCTGTCCTATTGCCATTATCTTCTGAAAAAACTGTCCTTTCAACAAGCTTCAAAGATGCATCACACGTGCTCATATCAACTATTGCATCCTCACTCACTACAGCCCTCAAAAATATTATATTCCTAATGTTTGTCTTCCATAAGACATAAACTATATTTTTTTTGGAATTCGAAACACATAGATCTAGTTTGTTGTTTACAGGAAAGTGTCACACCTTATTTCTCTCTCAACTGTTGCCTGAGAACCATCATTTGAGTCCATAAAGTAGCAAAGTTTGCATGCAGGCTGCATTACAGTAATTTGTTTTACACACCTGCCCTAGGATTTTTTGCCTCTTGACTGAAGCAGTTACCATAAACCTGAATATTTGCAAGCTACATTTTTTCAGTTAATCTTTTGACTCTTTTGCTCCTAAATGTTATGAGGTCACAAGGGTTAACAGATTTCAGAACAATCTAAAAATTATGTTTATAACAACTGCACCATGAAACAAGCTTTTGAGTCTCTCAAGAACTGTATGTTTTATATTTTCTAATCAAGATGCTGAGGGTATTATCTGCAGCAAACCTACCTCAGAACCCAAGGCCTATCTCAGGATTAAGATAACAAGTATAGGAGATGAATATCTAAAGGGAAAACATACACATTCTGGAGATTTGATTGCACAAAAGTGTATTTTTCGCATCAGATAGAAAGCTTTATGACAGCCCCATTGTAGGGAACATTTGCAACATTTAAGGATAATTCTGCAGAGCCATTAGAGCTGAAGGTTAATGGGTCATCATCACAGCAGATCAAATATTAAGCCATCTGCTCCAAGTTTTATGCTACTTTCAAACTCACTAGCTCACTTCAAGTTGAGGAACATAAAAGTTGCTCTGAATAACATATCTCACTCACCTTGCTTAATAGATCTATAAACTCAACTTGTTCCCATGCAAGAAAATAAACCTTTCAAAATAAACACATCTCACAAGAATCCCACTGCAAACTATCCTAAGTGTAAAATACATATCAAAAGGAATTCATTTCAGTGTCTACAATTACCCTACACAAATGGAGCACAATTTAGATTTAAAGGACACCTTTACAAGGAACAGTATAAAACTCGCTCAGGTTTGACAATAAAAACCCCATTAGAAACACAAACCAAGTTTTACTGAGAGATAGTATTTCATTAAGGTACTGGTAATGGGAACCAGGAATTCTGTTACTGGACGCAGGGCCCTTCAGCTCTTGCAGTTTAGAAAAAAGGATAAAAAAACTGTTTAACCAGCTTGGCTACTACCTCCCACATACAGTTTCTTGCAAGCGAAGATCAAGGTTTTCAGTTAGTCAGGTTTGTCCTGCCTTTTGGCCAATATTCATAATTCTCTCCTCTAACTTCCACTAATTAATTTTGAAAGACTCTAAACTACATACATCCTCACGTCAGCTTTTATAACACAGTAAGTTACACGGAAGTCTGGAAAATTATCAGCAGATGCCTGTACATGCACATTTATGACATTCAGAAAAATATTACTAACTTTGATATTTCTTTTTTTGTGTGTGTTATCTGGCTTGCCCATTAAGTTTATTGCTTGTGACCAGGCCTAAAGGAATGGAAATCATAACTTTATATATAGTCTTCATAGAGTATAATTGAATGCAACTTTTTAACTGTTGGCTTCCCGTGTGAAATTCTTTTTGCCTGTTTCTTAGCAAGTCACAACTATAAGCTAATTTTCATTTTAACATGCTGCAAAGCTGGTATTGCAAGATTTTAGTTAGTTTAGTTACCTTGCTCAAGAAATAATACTCCAAACCTATTTTCATATTTTACCATTACAAAACACTTGATCAAATGCAAAACAGCATCTGCTTGCCCGTTGTGCTTCACTGTCCTCATATCAATTGTTGTTCATTTGCTTTAAAACTCAAATATCATCTTCCCCCCTGCCAAATCCAAAAACTCATTAAGCTCCTTCTATTTGGGAAGGGTAGAAGASGGAAACCACACAAACCATAAGTTGAGTAAGCACCAGAACAGGGTGAGAGAAGTTAACGAGTAGGAGGTGCAGTTCAAAGGATGTCCTTGTAAACCAGGCTGACATTTATCTCCTAACTATGGAATATTGCYTTACACCAATGTGTAGGGTTCATAAGAGACAGACCTAAGAGAACATCTCCTGCAAACTCTAGTTGTACTTATTTCAACAAAGCACAGCTTTCAACACACATAYGGCGTAACTGACATTAACTGTGTCTCCGTGCTAAGATCTTAGTGCCAAGATCTCCRTGCTAAGATCTGAGAACAATAACTTGAAGAAAATTTGAAGAAATTTGAAGAATAAGTTGAAGAAAAAGCATATTCAATAACTTGCAACAAATGGGAATTGTCTCTGTACATRCATCATGTATAGATCTTCTCTTTCCACAGCAATCATTCCCGATATCACTGCTGTTCTTGCTCCACCCAAGGCAGCTGACATGCTAAAGAGAAGAGTCTCTATTTTGGAAGTTTACTTTATGACAACTAGCCAATATGTGGGAAAGCAGCTTTAGCATCTATCATAAAGATGTTCAATTAAAGTAAAAAAGCATCTCACTCCAAATCCAGAAGGGGAAAAGTACAAGAATGATCCTAACTGCATCGAAGATCGATTTCTAACAAGTGTTCAACATAAGTGTTTAAGATCTAAAATAATATGAAGATTCTCAGTCTTACAACCTTTTTCTCCCAAATTTAATGCTTTCTCTGCCCATACAGGGCAGAGAAACAGGCTGTTTTCACTGGTGGCCAGCGATAGGACGAGTGGTAATGGCCACAAGCTGGAGCACAAGAAGTTCTGTCTCCAGGTGAGGAGCAACTTCTTTACTGTTAGGGTGACAGAGCAGTGGAACAGGCTGCCCAGGGAGGTTGTGGAGTCTCCTACTCTGGAGGTCTTCAAAACCCGCCTGGATGCCACCCTGTGCCACATGCTCTAGGTGTGCCTGCTTGAGCGGGAAGGTTGGACTAGATGATCTGTAGAGGTCCCCTTCCAACCTTGAATATTCTGYGATTCTGTGAYACATAATTTAATCCCAAAGCACAGTGACAATGCAAATGTTTTTAGTTYGGGGGTTTTTTTCATTCCTTCAAGTCATCTATGTCCTTTCATGTGGGTCTAATGACAAGTATTACGCCTTTAGGAATAAGGGCAATTCTGTAAAAACAAAAGATACAAATGCATTACATTTTTAGACACTTGACTCCCCTCCTCTCTCACAGCACGTTGCTTTGGACAAGTGCTACTCTACTCATCATACCACTGTGACAGTTTCTTCCACACTCAACTAGTGCAAGATCAAGCACACAAGACTTGTACTAGTACCTCTAAAATCCAGGCTTTCCAGATCTACAAAAAAAAATTCATTTCTTTTCTCCTGAGAGCTGGTATAAACATTCAGAGAGGCAGTTACAGGTACTTTTGGTCAGTAATTTTGTTCTAGTAGAGCTTAGAATAGAAATGGTAACTAATCTGGCTCCAGTTTACCCCTTTCTCATCTCCCTTGCTTGTGGGGTTCCCAAGGATAGATACCTTCTCGCTTCCTGGAGTCATAATTCCAACAAGCCACCAATCACTTTATTTCACCCTATCCCCTACTGATTACTACCACACTCCTTAAGCATCGAGTCCTTGGTGGAGAATAATTCTGCTTAAACTCTGACTAAAAGACCATTATGGAAAACAGAAGGCAGCTCTAGGTCAAGGTTTAAAGCTCCGCTCATCTACAGGTCAAAATGTACTGGCTTCAAGAAACTCAGGTGATGGACACCAAATCAAAGCATCCACTCAAACATTGGAGTAGAAAGCAGCTCTGACTTCCCTATGAAAAAACCTCCCTCCCAAACAGTAGTAGAAAAAGGAAAAAGTCTTGGCTAAAAGAGTATGGGTTAAGTGGAACGTCAGCATTGAGTCTACAGTGTAAACCAACATGGATGTGAAAATTTCTAGAGTCCTATTAAACCTTCCCCAAAGACAAATGAAAGGGGAAAGGTGAGTTCAAGACTACAATGCTTGTTCAYTACAACTCAGTGAATAAAGTAATCCTGAGTCTTTTAAAATAAAAAAAAGTTAAAAAGAGGTTGAGAGTCTCCTCTTCCTCCAAATTCATATTGCAGAATCACCTCTTTACCATTAAGAAATGCTTAATAAGATAATTAAGAATAAAGAATTTAACTGTAAAGTGTTGCAAGGTCTTGAAATATGTAGCCAGTCTGAACATTTGCACAAAAAGATACCATTCTGAAACATATTTATAGGTTTATAGGTACCAAATACAGTGTCAACAGGACTTAGGCCACTGTTCTGGAATTACTTCAAGAATCTAACATGGTCATTTCTAATATGGTAACATTTGGTCAAGCAGCATACAAGCGAGACATCACTAGTATGCACCTAAATCCCTAAGAAAATAAAATGAAGTGAAAGGTATA